ATACACGCGTATAATTGGAATAATGGAAGATCAGTTCGTGATTCGATTTGTTTACATCATTGACTGGGTTCATATTGTTTCCATCGTGCATTCGATGCTAAATGACACGTCTATTCATACTGTTTAGGTTGTACCAATACAAATACGTTACCTTCTTGTTATATCCTCTATTCTACACCGATCGAATACACAATCAAAATTAAACGATGAATATTAAATACTTTACATATGTACACCTCGTTAGAATTTATTTAACGTCGTGCAACTTCAACAGAGAAGGTAGTAAATAAATAATATTATGTTGGTTTATTTAGAAACACGATACATTTACTGTTAGTATGAAGAAAAATGATTTACATTCATTTGGCAGCAATTAAACTGAGGAAAGAGAATAATGTAAGAGTAATTCAAGAATTCAGAAAAATGTTTACAAGCAAGTTAGTTTCTTGTTTGCAAGCAAGTAGAAAAAAACCTTACTCAAAATATTTTTTTATTGGTTATATTTATTTGGTTAATTATTAACAAATAAATGTAAATTATTCATCTTTGTCCTAATAGTAAACGTTACGTTTCTGAATGAAACAGCATAAATATTATTTACGTACAACATTCTCTGTGAAAATTATACAACAGAAGATAAATTTTAATGAGGAGTACAGAGACTGTTTCAATTGAAAACTGTACATAATTTTGTGAATTTCAGGTGTCGTTATAGATCCCTTCACTCAACATTACTTATTCCACAATTAACAAATTATTTCCAATAATTTATTCCATACTTATCAGTAATTTATAATTATTCATTTTCAAAATTGTATACATTTAATTTCAATAAATGAATATATCAATTATACTCAAAATTGCTAAGAATTCTCGTAACCCAGAAGCGCATTTATACTTTCATTAACTTATTTAATAAAATAATTACTCATATTTGGCGTTTCAGTTTTCACCGGCCTCTTGTCTTTATATTACGAATTCAATATTTAAAAGTAACTATGCTGCTTTTTATATCGTTGTTTGTGAGTAGTGACGTTTTAAAATGTGGCTCCAGCCTGTGTCTAACGCACCTTACAGTAAATACGGTCCTGTTGCAAACCCATCAACATCGATATCACTAACAAATGTTGCATCCTAAAATTTCGTACCAAAAACATATTTTCCAGAAAATCGCATAGTTTGTCCCAGATGTCCCATCCCCTATCGATTGTTCCGCGCAGATCAAATGAATTTCTGAATACACCCTCTAAGCCCTGGTCCTCTTCGTTTACCTTCGATCATGCCGAGCATTCCGCCTCTATATATGCAATCAGCTAGTGTGTAGGTATGTGCAACCAATTTTGCAATCGCGATGTTTCCAGTCGACCGATCAATAAATCGTTGTGCTATTTCGAGGCTGGAGAGACGATTCGTTCATTATTCGATGCATAATGCAAATTCGTTAACTCTCCAACCCCTTTCAGTCTCACCCATCCCTGTTTCCTTTATCTTTTAATTACAGCCAGTTTCGTGGTACACTTGTTCAGCTGCAATCACGTGAAAAAATTCCTCGTAATAGGGCAGTTGGAAAATGTACGATGTGAAATTATACACCGCGGTGTATTTAGCGAATAAGAAAATAGCTTCCGTTGCATCTTTAGAGGGAATTGTGATTTTTCAATTTTCACAATTATTAGATTTCAATGCAATTTGTTATATTTTATTGTATTTCGATGTAAAGAGGAAATCACTGAGCAGTTAACCCTTTCGTGAACAATGGGACACACGTGTCCCATTTGGGCAGAAAAATTTATCGCAATTTAGTATCCATTACAGACACGGTGATTATCAAAGTGACCTAAGTCATATATTTTTCGTTTCGAGGTATACTTAATATTTAGAATTTTTCTCTTGAGTGTATTAAAAAATTTGTTTCTATCGTGTAATAAAATATTTCACAAAATCCTCGCTTTTATAGTAAAACTCGTTTCTATGAAAAGATCGACGGGACACAGGGTAAGTGATGAATTCAAATTTTTTAAAATTTTTCAATTAGACCACTTTCATTGGTACAAATAAGAGATTCCTTAACCCTTTCGCTGCGGCAGGTTTTCAATCGGTGTCGCAAAATCTTTTCTCTTGAACTTCAAAAATTTTAAATAATTTTTAAATTTATCATTTCATTAAATTCGATGGAAATGTGTAAAAGGTAAAAATTAAGTATTAAATTAAGGCGAAAGTGCGCCAACGGCACACTACGTGGAAATTTTCAGGGTTAAAAAAGGAATTTGGTCACGAAAGGGTTAATACAATACATCAGATTGCATTGTTAAAATTTGGATACAAGACTCCTATTTTTGCTAAAATTAACATTCTTCTTAAATTTTCAACATTTTCATTCTGTGATAATTATTCACGAGAACTTTAATGCACGCAATTAAAGATTTCACGATCGAAGATTTTTAACGAAGAAACGATCGATAATTACAAATACCAAATACACCGAGTTGAACTTTGCATTTCAATACATATACATATCCACGTTGATTATTCGAAATTTTCCTCCAGGTCCTTTCTCAATTCCGTTTCGAAATTTATATCGCAAGTGCGGTAATTCCACTCAACGTTAATTAATTCGACCCGTTTAATTGGCAGATAATGTTCACCCACTGACCTGATTTTCACTTCCACTTGCTTACCAATGGGACAACTCCAAATCTATATACACGTATGTATGTATGCGTGTACATAGACGGTGTAAACCTGTAATTTCACTGTTTGTGCAGTTTGCGTCGTTATTAATACATCGACATTTTCACTCTTTGATCTTCATTGATCTGTGAAAAGATCTATGATGAACAGTTCAGTAAAACCACGTTTACTTATAATTCCGTTAAAGATTACATAGTCGATGATTTTTTAATTGCAATTCTATATATATATTTTTTTTCTTCTTCTCCCTTTTGTAAATCACGAAGCGAGAGAGCGTTATTCTTAATTGGCGTTGAAGGTTTCCTTGATACTTACATTTAGAAGACAATTCGAGCGTACTTGGACTAATTAAAATGTTCATTAGCGCATCAGTTATTCCGTTCAATTATCGAGACCGTGTAGAGGCCGAGATTGAAACATAAACGTAAATTACAGCTTCCTCTAATCGTACGAGGTTGTATGCTGGAGCTTCAACTAGTTTCCATTCAAAATGGGAATGTGTACGCTCGCACCTCCATTCCGAACTCGATTTTCATCAACAAACCTGTTCGTTAGCAGTATTAGAAAAAAGATATCCAAGAAGGTGAAAGAAAAATGACGGAAAAATTCGCGTAATTAAAATAGTTTTCGTTAAAAATTACTTAATACTTTTTATTATTATTATTAAATAATTTTCGTTAAAAATTATTTATTACTTCTTCTTCTTATTATTATTAAATAATTTTCGTTAAAAATTCTTTTCATTCATAATATTTCAATTTTACATACACACTTATTGTTACTTCTTAACTGCGCTATCATTTTACTACGCAATTTTTCACGCAATTATTTTTGAATTACGAAGAAAGTGGAATAATTAAAATTTATGTGTTATTTATCCACAATGATAATATAATTAAAAATTAACAGCTGTTCGATAAATGACCTACCGTGTTTCAAGCACTTGTGAAGCAACGACGAGTTAACAGGTTAATATTAACACTTTACCGACCGGTAGCCTATTAATCGGCTTTTTGCCGCCAACACTTACCGACCGGTAGCCTATTAATCCATTTTTTTTTTCGCCGACGCTTACCGACCGGTAGCCTATTAACCGGTCAAAGTTTGATTTAATATTTCTACAGGTATAAGAAAAAGCGCGTATATTCCCCGCGCAATAGCCTAGAGTCTAAGCAGAGCCGGTGTCACCGATGTATCTGTGGCCGAGTGACCGGTCGAAAGTGCGTAGAATGTTCAACCGCTACCGGTCGGTAAAGTGTTAATACCGGTCGGTATTAGGGCAACGCCTAATGTCTTTTTCCTACGAGTGCTGTCCGCCAAAGAACTCAAACCTTCGCCATGAATTATGAATACGCGCCGCTCCATCGGCCACGTCTATTTTCGTTCGATTTGAATTTTTACAGCCAATTTATTCTGTCACGGAAAAACGAGCCGAATGAATCGATGAATTATGATCGCGCTGGGGGATGAGCAACGTCGTTCGAATTTTCATGCGTTATCGCGTTCCGTGGGGCTCGTGGATTTCAATTTACCTGCAGCGACAGACTCATGCGCTGTTGTTAAGGATACACGCGAACAATTTTCATGGAAGAATTTATAATCCCACATCACCTGCAGCTACTTCGTTGCATCTATTTCGCAATTTTTTTAAACGTACCTACCTATATAGTTTTTTTCTTCTTTTAGATTCAGATGCTTTGAAAGCTGACGATTTGCGAATTTATCGAATTATTTCTAACATTTGATTGCTGTACTTTATTTCGTTGGTGACTGATACTTCGTACTCTTGAGGGAAGACAATTAGAAAAGAGACGCAAAGTGCTGTTGTACGCACCCTGCTCTAAAATTTATCACGCACAACGTTAATTATTAAAAAAAGGCACGCGTATTTTTTGATCGCGAATACAACTATATTCGAAGCGTAAAAAATATACGCGTTCTTTACCGCACTTCATATCGCGACTGTGAAAAGGGTAAGAAACGGGCACAGGTCGCGTAAAAAGGGTAAAAGGTAACAATATTCTTCCAGAGTGTTCCACTTTGTTACTCTTATATAACGGTCACTGCATATTACGGCATTCTCAGATTTCTAACGAGGCTAGCTAGAGAACAGCGAAGAAACGACGGTGCATTTCTCCACGAAAACGGTATTATTAACCAAACACGTTGTAAGTCCCGAGTTTGTAGAAGTTCGCGAAGAAATCCAGTGCAGCGTTCTTCTTATTGCAATTTCGTCAAACTTTCGGGAACGTAATTTACCGGCAACATACGCGAGATTTTCCAAAGCACGACGGAAACAATCGACTCACCTTCTCCTTGTCGCCGATGTGGATCAGCATCTTCGCTTTGCCTTCCTCGAGGTAGATTTGCAGTCGATCTGGACTGTTTTCCAAACTCGTGGATAAGAGGAGGCCACGCGGCCTGGTTGTTTTGAAGCGAACAACGATCTCTTCGGCTTGGGTCTTGGAATCCTCTGGCATCAGCGCCGTCATTTGCTGCGTTCCGTTCAAGTGCAACGTCGATGCATCTAGAGAAGAGTAGAAAGAAAGGTTAACGCGGATCGTGTCCTACGCCGCCGTACCGTTTTACAATAAATCAAGTTTACTTATTTCGATATGAACTGTTCTGCTGATAACAATTACATTTGTCCCGTGACTTATGGACGGGGGTGTATGTGAAAGAACTAATTATCGGGTAGTTTGTCTTTCTCGGGGTGTTCTTGCGTTTTTAGAATAATTTCGTGGTATTTATTACGTTGATGCTCCAGCTGAAAGGGATAGTACACAATTCATCGATTATTAAATTTCTACGTTATCTCGTTAAAACATTTCACACTCTGTATATAATGATCTTAGTTTTTTGTTACAATTTTGTTCATTTGTATTTGTAAACGAAAATTGCTAGATAGGTGGTGAATCTTTTGTTACACTTTCAGAAGAATATAATTTACTTTCACTGTATCAAAATATACGTTTCAAATTTTCTATTTATTATTGTAATTTAAAGCAGACATATTGGTAATTCCTTGCAT